CCAGTACTCACACTCCCCGCCCCGAAGTGTTCTTGTTTTATTGTTTTCCAGTTTCATTGAGGAATAGCCAATATACATCACTATATATATATATAAGTTGAAGGTATACAGCATGGTGGTTCGATTTACATATATTGTGAAATGAGTACCATGGTAGGTTCAACCAGCATTCATCTTCTCATATAGATACAATAAAGAGGAAAGAAAAAAAACCTCCTTGTGATGAGAACTCAGGATTTAATCTCTTAACAAGTGTCCTGTCACACAGGACAGATAGCAGTGCTGGCCAGAGTCCTCATGTTGTACATCACAACCCTAGTGCTTATTTATCTTACAACTGGAAGTTTAGTTACTTATCCCTTTGTATCACAAATTCACAATTTCTAAGTTACATTAACAGTAATGTTCCAGAAATGCAGTATAAAAGAATGGCTAACACACAGGCTTGGAACTGCAACGGCCCCCGGTTCGAATCCCACTCTGCCATGCACTAACTACGTACTGGTACTGCCAAAGCCCTGGTTTCCTCACTTATAAAAGGGGAAATCATAAAAATTAAATGAGATTTTTTTTTAACATTGAAAGTATTGCTCAATCTTGATTGTAGTCGAAAAATATGGATATTTACAATGGCATATTAAATAAATACCTGGAGATATTAACATTAGGTGTAAGTACCACTGTGACCTCAATTACTGCACCATATGAGCATTTTTATCTCTACCAACCACATCCCAAGCCCCTCTGCTCCTTACCTCCCACCTTCTAACCCCATCAGCCTCTTTTCAAATCTCTGAACCTACTAAGTGCTTTCCCTTTCCCAGAGCCTTTCCAGACACTGGTCCTTCTGCCCAGAATGTTGTCTCATCGGCTCTTTGCTGGATCTTTCCTTTCCTCGCCCCCCCCACCTCCCTCCCTCTTTTTTTCCTTCCTTCCTTCCTTGCTTCCTCCCTCCCTCCCTCCCTTCCTTCTTTCCTGTCTCAGGTTAAATGAGGCCTCACAGAGGCCTCTCATGACTGCCTCTAAGGAGACACCCTTCATCCCCAGTTACCTTTGATTACTAGTCTCTGCCTCTTCATAGTCAATATCACAGTTTGTCATTAAATTTTTTTTAAGGTTTTATTCATTTATTTGTCAGAGAGAGATAGAGAGAGCACAAGCAGGAAGAGGGGCAGAAGGAGAGGGAGAGGTGGATTCCCCGCTGAGCAGGGAGCCCAATGCAGGACTCGATCCCAGGACCCTGAGATCATGACCTGAGCTGAAGGCAGATGCTTAACTGACTAAGCCACCCAGGTGTCCCTAAAATTTTATTTACTGAATACAATTCACTTGTCCATATAAGGTTTGCCCAGCAATATGCTGAGAACTGTATATAGTGTGCATTTGTGTTTGAAAATATTATCTCCAAATTAGGATTTTGCTTTAATAACTTAGCATTTTACTGTGGGTATTTTTCCAGTCATTAAAAATATGTTTATAACATAACTTTTAATATTTGTATATTATTTGGTCACATGGATCACTTCTTCAGCCACTTCTGTTTTAGTATGTATCTTCCTTTCACTTTTTGAAAACTATTTTAAGAAACATTGCTATGAATATGTTTGTACAATGTCTCCATTTATACCTTTGATTATTTCTTTAGGATACACTATGAGGAAGATGGAATTACAGGATCAAAGAGAACATACCTTTTTAAAGACCAGGTATATAGTGCCAAATTTCTTTGTGGAGAATTTGTAACAATTTATAGTCTTGTGACAGTGTTTGCAAACACTTGTCTTACATATTGTGAAGAACAATGAGCTTTATTCTTTATAAATAATGCAATTTTATAGGCAACAAAGAGCATTCCTTAGTATAACTTGCATTTATTTGATTAATCAGGAGTAATCATATTTTTATGTTTATTAGATATTTGTAGTTCTTCTAACAGTGGGCTTTTGTTCACTTTCTCATTTTGGTTTTATGTTTTTCTTATTAATGTAAAGTCAATTTTATATTAAGAATATTAACCAGTTGCTTAAAATATTACCGCAAATATTTTTCCAATTTATTGCTTGATTCTTAAATTTGTTTATATTTTTGTTGGATATGCTTTTAGAATTTTTGTACACTCAAGTTGACTAAACTTTTTATGGTCTTCTCACTTCCTTTGTATTTGGCAGGTCCTTACAAATGAACTAAATCAGTTAAATACCTATCATTTTTCTTGGACATATCTTACTTTTTTTTCCACTTGTGATTAAATTTTTTTAGGCCTTCTAGGGATGACTGGGTGGCTCAGTCAGTTATGTGTCTGCCTTCGGCTCAGGTCATGATCCCAGCAGGGAGCCTGCTTCTCCCTCTGCCTGCCACTCCTCCTGTTTGTGCTCTCTCTGACAAATAAATAAATAAAATCTTTAATTTTTTTAGACTTTCTAAAATATATCCTGAGGTATGGTGTCACATGATATATTCTAATTTGCCTTTTTAAAAAAACAATAACTGCATTTTCCAAATAATTGATTTCCTTTTCATTGGCTTATGATGTTTTACCACATATTCTGTTCTCATGTATACAATATGGCCAGCTAGAAGCCTACACTGGTGCCCTTTTTTCTGTAATTACTGCAGGTTTAAATCATATTTTAATATCTAGTAAGACAATTTTTCCCTCCCTACTTTCTTTTCTCAAAAATTTTCACCTGTTACTACTTTTTTATACTTTCAGATTAAGAGCTATCTTGTCAATATTGGTTAGCTGAATAATGGCCCTCAAAGATATCCAGGCCCTAATCCTTGTAATTAGTGAATGTTATCTTATTGGGGGGATGGGGTAAGGGTAGGGGTGGGGGAAAGTCCTTGCAGATATAATTAAATTAATGACCTTGAGATGTAGTAGGCCTTAGATGTAATCACAAGAGTTTAATGGAAGCAAAAGGATATTTGAGTAATATCTACCATGTGATGGTGGAGCAGAGAGAGATTTGAAGATGCTTTGCTGTTGGCTTTGAAGATCAAGCAAGGGGCCAGGAGCCAAGGAATGCAAGGAATGCAGCTCTAGAAGCTGGAAAAAGCAATTCTCCCCTAGAGCCTCTCAGGGAGCATGGTCTTGCCGACACCTTGATTTTAGCCCAGTGAAACTGATTTTGAACTTCTACCTCTATAACTGTGTAAGAATGAATGTGTGTTTATGTAAACCATCAAGTTTGGATAATTTATTACAGCAACCATAGAGAACTAATATGTCAATTTAATAAAAAATGCTCGAGATGTTTTTGAATTTTTGTTAATGTCATCCACTAATATTTGAAGAATTGATGAATTTCAATATTCAATATTCCCTTCCAAGAAAATAGATCTTTTTTTTTTTTTTTTTTTTAAGTAGGCTCCACACTGAGTGTGGAGCCCATAGTGGGGCTTGAGGTCATGACCATGAGATCGAGACCTGAGCTGAGATCAAGAGTCAGACACTTAACTGACTGAGCCACCCAGGTTCCTTGAAAAATTTCAAGTAAAATTTTGTAGCTTTTGAGAAATTTCTTGTGCTAATATTTCCAGTGAAAGAGATTTTCATTTTTCAGAGAATCAGCAGCATGTTTTTTTATAAAGCAATTTTCTTGAAGATAAACACAGAGGGAATATCAGCGTCATTAAGATTGGCAGGATTTGGGCATTTAATAGGCCAACTTCTATAATATTATATAAGGAGCAACAATTTGGTTTTTTAAAAGAGGTTAGCTTAAAGAGATAAACTTACCATTTCTCCTAAGTTATCTTATTCTTTTGAAAGGCTCTTCTGTGACCAGATTTTGTTCACTATATGATTACAGATGATGAATAAATGGAAATATAAAGCTGCATTATCTCTCTAAAGTGCAATTTCTACAACACTGCATTAGAGTATACCCAAAATAGTTCTTAAAGACTGAAATCATGTTTTTCACAAAGACATCATAACTCTGAAGATTCTGGCATTTTTTTCACACTCTTCTTTGGTAAGCTTTTGGTATTTTAGTGTCCTTATTTTGATAATCAAGTAAATATTTCAATGCAGACATTAAAATTTATTTTTTTGTGTTTCAGAAATATTTGTGGGAGGAAATTCTGACATGTTGGAGTAGAGTTAATTACTCACAGGTTTTTAATATGACTTACTGAAACATTTTGGTCAGGCAACTTTTTCTAGTAGGTGGTTCTGTGGTTCCACTAGCTGAACATTAGAATCGTATAGGAAATTTTAAAAAATGTCCAGAAGGGAGTAAAAGCATTTGTCTTTTTAAAGAGCTCTAGACATGATTTAGGTGTGCCCAAAGTGAATGTCCTCACTTTGGTTTATATAGTAAACCCTTGGGACTTAGAGATTTTCATGAATTCTTAAGCACCCCCAAAAGCCAGTTGTTATCTCACTGAGGTTACTGTGTGAATGGGTCCCATTCTCTGAGCTAAGAAGAGAATCTCGCCCCTCCTTCCTATACCCAGCCCCAGAGTTTTCTTCTCTATATAGTAAATCTTACCAAGAGTCAGAAAGGGCAACTTAAGATATTTAATCAATTTTATTTTATGGGGAAATTTTTAGGATAGTGAAGCATTTGTGATTCGAGGATCAAAAGTCCTCCAGTACATCTTTTTCAAATGTCAAGAGTATATTGGTTCTAGTTTATGCTAATATTGTGAATATAAGTTTGATGGGAAAACGGAAAATATTCTACGAACGTAGTAATTTTGAAGGAAGGAAGTACATCATCCTTTCTTGCTGAGTCCCTAATCCTAAATCTTCAAGGAACTGTTTGAACCTAGCTTTCTCTTCACAGACTTCTAAATACTCAATTTTACTCAAAGGTAGCCTTTCTTGTTTCTAATTGTGAGACATTTGCAATCATTTCAGTACATGAATATCATAGTTTCTATTGTGCTTCAATTATTGCATTATTTTTTTTTTTTCTTTTCTCAACAGGTATGAGGTTCTTGAGGGTTGGCATCTTTGGTACTCTCTGCAGTGCTCAGAATATTGTCAAGTATGTTTTAAGTTTATGAAACTCATATACTAAATAGGATGAAATAAAAACATTTTTCTTAACAAAGATACTGATTTTATACATGTCAACTAGCCAAACTCTCATTTACCTTTTTTTCTTAATAGGTAGAAAATTTAAGGTGACTAAACAACTTGACCACTTTCTTGATGTATACAGTCAGTCCTCACAATATGATTTGCCAGTTGGTTGGTTTGAATAATCGTCTTTTTTACAAGAATGCATTTCAAAAGCTACTAAACTCATCTGTAAACAGCAAAACCAAATTTTTTAGATATAGTAGTGTGCTTCTGGTATGTATATTTATACTCTTATGTCTGTGTTTGGGTTACATGCGTGTGTGGAGGTGAGGGGAGAAATTTTCTTTACTGTAATTATCAAAGCAATAATTAGCCGGGAAATATGCAACAGGTTTGTGATTCAAGATAATTTGGATCCATTATTACCCAAGACAATTAAAATCTCTTAACTTTGCTTAATGCACCAATAATGCATCACCTGTGTGAATGCTTTCTTGGCAATAGTGCCTGAATTTAATATTTATCATAAATAAAGTGTTTGTTAAAGAAATGGCATTGTAAGTGCTCTCTTCCACCTTTATGAAAGTGGAATCAAAATGTCTTTACAGAGTACAGCATCCTTCTCATTAAACTTCACAGAAGGGCTCAGTGAAAACAGGATTTCAACACAAGTTTCTTTCCCCTTATCTTTCTTTCCAGCTGTTTTGATTCTCCTAAAAATCAACTTTTGTTGGTGGTTTCTGTTAATAGGTAATAAGACCAGTGATTTAAATCACCGGTTACTCTCTTTTGGCTTTCAAACTGTTCTAGCATGCTTCTAGTTAGAATAATGATTGCAGTGGTAAGTCGATGTGAGGGGATGGTAATTTTCTACATTAATGCTCACCGAGCTTCTTAGAGTTACATTAGCTCTTGCAATAATAGAAAAGTTCTAATGGTAGAAGAAATATGAATATCTGAAATATAGATGTGCCCTCTAGCAAAATTAGAGATCTACACAAGCCTTGTTGGGATTCATTTTGTTGCAACTAAACATGTATTTCCAGCCCTGGTAATTGGCGGGCTTAGATGACTCTGGTGTTTTTGTATTCAGTTCTCAAAATGTCATATGTTGATCAGTTGTACTACCTGTGTCTTTTAGAGACCTTCGAGGGAAATTCACTTATATTTATAAGACAAATTTAAAATAATTGGAAGTTCCTCCTCCTTCATCTTTCCTGCTGTACAAGTGCACACAGATACGCTTATATTTACTACTTCTGTGCACAGAATCTCAGTGACCCGGTGACTTGCTCTGACATGTCTGGTAACAACTCTGACATAGAAGATGTATACTTTTTAATTGGGAGTAGCTACAATTTCAAATTCTTTAGCGAACCATTACTTAGCATAAAGTCACTTTGGAATCAATTAAATATGAACCTTTGTCACACCAGTATTCACTGAAAAGCACTTAGGTGATTAAAGACCCTTGGCCTCCAAATATTTGACTACTTACCAGCACCAGCCATTTAAAAAGCCTTATTAGCTCTTTATATTTCCAGGGATGGCAGCATGAAAAAGTAAAACAAAATGAGAGGAAACGTAATTGCCTCCAAATGAATGTACCCTCAGCATCGCCACGGCTTTAACTATGCTAAGGTGCTATTAGCTCTTACTAACTTCTGAGGTTTTCTGAGCTCTCTGCTTCTATAGTGCAGTATTTTTTCCATAACAATGCAAGATAAAAAAAAAATGAATGAACTTACAAATTTTCATTATCCAAGTGAGATTGGTAAATGTAGCAAATTTCAGCACATTTAATATTTCAAGAAATGCCTTTAATTTTAAGCAAACTTTTGGAGCAAATGTAAACAAAGTATATAAAATGACATCAGTTTAAATAATTATTATGCTAATCATAGTAACGACCATTTATTGAAGGAATTCTATGCGAAGCTGTGTGGTTTACATGTGCTCATTTAATCTTCTCAACAGCAATGCTATGAAGTGGGTATTCTCATTGCTGTGTATGTATGGGAAACCAGAAGGTCTCTAAAAATATTTAAAAAATTAAATAATTAATTTAAGTAATTTGGATAATCAATCAAAGGTTATATAGTGCACAAGTGGTCTGGTTGGGATTAGAATCCAGGTCTGCCTAATTTTGAAGCTCTGTTTCTTGACCAGTGAGCCCAAATGACTCCTTATACAGGTTCCCTAAGCATCTGCAAAAAGATTTCTTTACGAACTGTTCAAGGCATGAGAAGATAACTTATTTTTTGTCCAGGCAGTCATTGAATAAACTTAAAACTTTTATAAGGAATACCCTTTGCTCAAATTGTTTATAACTCATAATTTTACCTGTTCAAATGGAATATTCCAGTCATTAAATACCTAATACTTCAGTGAAATCCAGTCCTTTACTATGTAAAGATTGTAATATATAGTTTGAATACTCAAAAATACATATGGTCTTGCGATGTCTGATTAAAATTTGCAAAATGTTTACCTGTGTTTTATTTGGATCAATATTATTTAAAAATATTCTACATCATAAATGTCCTAATTGAAAAGGAAAATTACTCTTTAATAAATTGAAACAAGTGATTATAAAAAGGAGATATTTTTTCTCTAACAGCATAATAATAATGACCATTGACAGTCATTAGTGAGTGGCTAATGGCCCAAAGGAACATAAAATAATTACTGTCAGACCAGAAAACTGATTTATGATAAAAATGGGTAATATACATTGGCAAAAATAAAGATGTGTTTTGATGTACTTGAAAAGAATGAATGCTATTCGTTTAAGTTTATGATTCCATATCTTTCCTCCTATCTAGTGCCTATTTTCTTTAACCCTATAAAGATTATTTTAATCTCCATAATATAAAATTTATATGTTTATTAATCTGACTCAGGCTTGAGAATTAAGACTTGGGTTTTTTTCTGCTGTTAGTGAAGTCCCCCTATTGTTTCCACTTTAAAAATTACTGCTAATATCACACAACATTGTCTGGAATGTTAAGTATCAATAGATATTGGGAGCTATGATTGAATATTTACTCAAAATATTGTTCTGTAACTTTTGTCAGTCTGCAACATCATGAAGCTCAGTGTTTTAGTTGTTGTATTATTAATATATTGCACATCACCCCCTCCCCCCTTTTTTCCTTTCACTGTACTCTCCTTCTCTTTCATACCTTGGAGGCCAGGCACACATGTTAAACTTTCATGTGGTTTAACCCCCTGGGTACCAAATGTATTCTTATTTGGGTACTCACATGACATCTGATCATCTTGTGGAGTCCGGGTAGAGAAGAGAAGTATCTTTGTGTGAGATGAGATGCTAGGAGAAAGAGAAAGGATGAGAATGTTTTAGGTCAGCAGAGGCTGCAGTAAGGTAAGGTAAGGAAAATTCTACTCAAATACCTCTATTTTCTCAGTGGAGCACATAGTGATGTTATGACTTAAACGGTGAAAAGCTGGGAAAGCAGGCTTAGAAGGGATCATAACTTCTTAGGGCAGCCCATGGAGAATGAGGGGGGGGTGATTAGGGACAAGGTAAACAATAATGAGCAATTGTCAAGTTCCCAGACCCATGTAGCCAGTGCAGATTTGCTATGTGGCCAGGATGTAACTTTAGGATGAATGTTGATGAAGCCACCTCTGAGCTGCCAATGCTTAAATATACCCAGATATTAATTTGAGGGGTGGAGCTAAAAAAGCTCCATTCTCTCACTTACAATACTTCATTAAATTAAATATATGTAGTTAGGCTATTTTCCCCCAAGACTATAAAAAAAGTTTTGTTACTTTTGAATTTTAAAATAATGATAAATAAACCATGATATATTAATGCAATTGAACACAGTGGCACATATTAAAAGGAACATGATAGGACTATATGTGCTTGCCCAAGAGGATTTCACAGAGATAGTAAATCAAATGTAACATAGTATGTATAATATGATCTCCTTGTAAATAAGCTGTGATTAAAACATACCCTTGGAATGTTACCAGTTTGTAGGCACCAGACAGAAGTCTGCAGGGTGCAACTCTGGGAACTGAACATGGCTTTATAACAGCATGTTCCTTTGTTTCTTCAAACTGAAAGCCTAACCTTTGTTGAAGGATATATAAGGTGGGAGGCTGCCCACCTCAACTGTATCCTATGTCTGGATGTAGCCATTTGACGAAGTATATGGGTGGAGCCTGAAGATTTAGGTCTGGCTAGAGCAGGTCAGAGCCTTACAGGAAAAATTCGTACTTTGCCAGAAAATGGAGGAGCCCCCAGATTCTCACTATTCCTGAAACCTTGTGGGATGGGAGAGAGCGAGGTTTTATTGATTATTCTGGGCCCCAAAACTGTGTTCTATGCTTGGTATTTGTTTTTGTTTTGTATTTTTAAGATTTTATTTATTTATTTGAGAGAGAGTACATGAGCTAGAGGGGCAGAGGAAGAGGGAGAATCCCAAGCAGAGTTTCTATATTTTTTTTAAGATTTATTTATTTATTTTGGAGAGAGAGAGAGCACACGCATACATGCAAGAGTGCAGGAGGGAAGGGCAGATGGAGAGGGAGAGAGAGAATCTCAAGCAGACTCTGTGCTGAGCTTGGAGCCTGACTGCATGGGGCTCAATCCCATGACCTTGAGATCATGACCTGAACTGAAACCAAGAGTTGGACGCTTAACCAACTGAGCCACCCAGGCACCCCTTGGTGCTTGGTCTTTGAAACTTCAGTGCTCAATTTAGTTGTTGCAATTAGTCCAGAGGTGATCATCCCTTTGACTATCATACAGACTAGGTCCTAGGAGGTACATCCCCTCAATTAGAAGTGTTCAATAGCCAGCACAGGGTCTTGTGGGGGGTAGGCCCACAACCTCACATTGCATCCAGGATGGTCAATTAGGTCAAAAATAAAACTTCCAGTATCACCTGAGTAGCAACCAAACCCTTCAACATCTTGTGGATCACAGTAGATACAGGTTCAGAGATAAACATGAAGACTTATTATTGTCAGATATGGTGGGCAATGCATGTCAACTCTTTCACTGAACTCATAGATAACAGATCAAATATATTTTAAAAATCTGCTTTAAGGTACTGAAAAACAAACAAACATACAAACTAATGATGAATTACCAAACCAGTATCCCGAGGAGGGCAGAGCCATATGAAAGAAAGACTGGCATTCAGAAATGTTTTATGCTATGGGGGAAGGTACTGATTATTGAGAAGGCAGACAGATCAGGAGGCTGACCAGCCTTTTTGAATGGGATTTATGTAGACATGCCAGGTATCATACAGGATACCCAGCTGAATTTGGATTTAAGATAAACAATGAACAGTTTTTTAGTGTAAGTATGTCCCATGCAATGTTTAGTTCAAGGTGAGTGAAGAAAAAAGCTAATATCCACAGGAGGCCAGCACATCTGGGTGTTCAACAATAAAATGTTGATATGCTTTATTGCTATGTAAGGTTTTAATTTGTGGTAGACCAATACTTTGATAACAATAATTTGTTATGACAACTGCTAGTTTTATTCTTCTTTCCTAGTGTGAAAGTAAAGACACATTTGCAAAGCTTGGCTGAATTTGGCAGGAAGAGGAGGAACTGGGATAAAATGAAGTAAGTGGGTTGCTTTTTTCTGCCTTCCAACACCCCCTCCCCATGCCATGTACACAATGGGAGGAAGGAGAGAAGAAAACCAGATTTTCCCCTGTTTTTTGAGAAAAACTAAAGAACTAAGATTAGGAAAATCTGTATAATTCTTCAGGTAGGAAGTTAGTTGGAGTACTCCAGACTGTAAGGTATGAAGAGCAGAAGAAATGGCTGTGCGGCATGTGGAGATAGCAGAAGTAGGAGAGAGGAGAGCATTTCTTCTGACTTCCAAAAGAAATGGGCAAAACCAAATTGTCCTAGTGGGATGTAGAAGTAGCAGAGGGGCAGGGTCAGGAGACCTGCAAATATATGAAGAAGTATGAGGTGAGGGGAAAATCATAACTGCATAGTAGTGGTGAGGAGAGAACATCCTAGGTCATAGATAGTCAGCATATGTGGTAGAAATCTCCAAGAAGCCCTACTCCAGGAAACACCAGCTGGGCTGAAAGCTTGAGGAAGCTCTAGGAAGTGTGGGCACAGATGGGAGGGGTGTATCTGTAGAGTCCTAACAATGGCCCAAGTCTAAAAATGATCTCTTTTTTCTTATTGGAATCGTAATTTTCTGCATCAACTTGACTGGGCTAGAAGATGCCCAAATAGCTGGTAAAAACATTATTTCTGAGTGTGTCTATGAAGATGTTTCTGGAAGAGATTAATATTTCAGTTGGTGAACTAAGTAAAGCAGATGGTCCTCCCCAGTGTGGGTGGCCATCATCCAGTCTGTTGAGGGCCCGATTAGAACAAAAAGATGAAGGAAAGGCAAATTTGCTTTCTCTGCTTGAGCAGAGACATCCATCTTCTCTTGCCCTCCTGCTTCTCAGATTTTTGGACTCAGCCTGGGACTCCCACCATCAGCCCCCGAATTCTTAGGCCTTCAGACTTGGATTGAGTTACACCACCAGTTTCTCAGGCTTTCTAGCTAGTAGATGTTGGATCATGGAACTTCTCTGCCTCCATAACTGCATGAACCAATTTCTATAATAAATATTCTCTTATGTATCTCTCTATATGTTCTATTGGTTCTGTTTCTCCGGAGAACCCTGACTAATACACTTACTAACCTATTTGGCAGCAGGCTTTAAGAATATAGACAAGTAAGAGAACAGGTAGATATAGAGGAAAATCCTGGAAATGAATATGAATCTAGAATGTAACTGATTCATAAACCTGAAGCCATCAAGAAATCACTGTATTGGATTGCAAGAAATCCTGAAATTGATCTGAGTAATATGTTCACATTAAGTAAGCTGGGATTTCAGAGCCAGGTATGAACTCATTATAAAAATGAAGAGAATTTGCTTAGGAAATTGACTATAAATTTTATACTTATCATATTAGTATCTACACAGAAAAAGAACCTGAAGAAAAATCATACCAAATCACTCATGGTGATTTGGGGCTGGGATGGGTGGAGTAGAATGGGATGTGAATTATAGCAATTTTCCCAAAGTGCATTGTGTAGTTCTCAAATGTTTGAATATTTTGCAAAAAGAAATTTTTGTAAATAATGTCGTAAAACATTTTTGTAAAAAAAAATATTTTGGTAGCAAGACTTACCAAAACAATGAAGACTAACATCAACAGGGGAAATGCCCTGAGCATATATCACCATGATTTCCCTTCTGTTGGGGTACTGAATTACTAAGCTAAGTCTACCCTAAAACTGGAAAAGGTGGAAAAGATCCCAAATGTGACATCTGAGGCTTCGGATTCACTGATGACAAGATGCAACGTCAGGGCACCACTGTTGTCAATGCAAGATGACCAAGGATCCAGTCATTTCAGTGTGGTTCTACATCTGTGGCAAAACCCATAGTGAAAATCTCTCCCTCATAGCTCACTTAGGTGAAACACTTGAGCTAACACATACAGAAGAACCAACCTATCTTCTTACACTATGCAGTCCCCAGAAGAAATACTTTGCCTGCTGATACTAGTTGTCTGAGAGAAATATCTAGGTAGGGTAGAATTACTTTTTCCACATAGCTGGGAGGTATGGTTCTCTATACTGGTAGAGGCTCCTACCTAAGCCCTAATGGAGAGGACTTGATTTAGCCCTGTCACCTCCCATCTTCTGGCAAAGAAAATCTCATGATATCTTTCACTGCCTGGCAGCCTACCACTACTGAAGAGCCAGGGTGAAAGCTCATGCTGAAGAGACTTTCACTTTCTAACAGGAGTATGCAAAGCTCAGGAAGGAGACAAAGCTGAAAAATGGAAACAAGTGGCTCTGATTGGGGAGACTGCACCATTAAAAGTGAAAAACAGAATCATTACTGCTGAAAACTGAGATTGTGATCAGAAGGTTAAATGGAGGAACTATATTTCAACACAAAAGAAAAATATTAAGCAATGTAAATCATGACTGAAAATATAAGAGATATGGAGGACAGTCCTAAGAGAAGTAATATGCAAATAATCAGCATTTCAAGAGAAAATGGAGCAGATGGAAATGGAATCAATAATCAAAGCAATAATCTTCAACTCCCTGATATGAAGATCAAAAGGCTTACTAAATGTCAGGCAGACGTGATGGAAAAAAAAAAAAAAAGCACCCCCACACATCTAGACATTTCTTTGTGAAATTTCTGGCCTCTGTGGAAAGAGAAAAAATATACATTTTTCAGACAGATAAAAAAGTTTGAATATAATGGAAAAGGAGTGTTTGACTTTGACTTCTTATATGCCACACTAGATGCTAGTGGAATAATGTTTATAAACTTTTGAGAGAGAAAGCACTGTTGCATAAAAATCCTACTCTCAGAAAAGTTATCATTCATATGATGACAAAAGAGGGGCATTTTTTTGGATATGTAGGAACTCAAAGTATTCTACTCATATTCTTATTCAAAATTACTCAAGGATGTACTCCAGCATAAATGATAGTAAATTTGAATAGAGATCTAAAGCAAATGGAAAATAAAGAATACAAGATATAGCAGTGAGCAATGACTCTAGTAAAATACGTGGATGAGAATAAAGTGATTGCAAATTGTAATATCACTTTTGAGTAAGTATACCGAGAAAAGGCATACTCTAAAGGAAATAGTGAAAAATAATATGGAATTACATTTCTGAAGTAGTTCACAAAATCTAGGATTTGGAAATGGTATGAATGAATGAGAGAGTAAAATATTCTTAAGGTCCCATCATTGTGGGGAATGGTAAAGGTACCATTAATTTTAATAAAATCTCAGAGAAATATGGGTTTTAATATGACTGTTTAAAATACATGCGAATGAACTAGCAAATAGAGAAACATTACTTTTTATAAATTATTATTAGGGGCAACTGGAATGCAAAACAAAATAAACAGAGCACACACACACACACACACACACAACTTGTTCAAGCTAGTGGAAGTAGAAAAGCATAAGAAAAGGAAAGAGTATAATAAAGAAGTTAACATAAAATTAGATGTTAAGGGGCGCCTGGGTGGCTCAGTTGGTTAAGCGACTGCCTTCGGCTCAGGTCATGATCCTGGAGTCCCGGGATCGAGTCCCGCATCGGGCTCCCTGCTCGGCGGGGAGTCTGCTTCTCCCTCTCCCGCTCCCCCCTCTTGTGCTCTCTCTCTCTCTCACTCTCTCTCTCAAATAAAAAAAATCTTAAAAAAAAATTAGATGTTAACTTCTAATTTTAATTAGAACAAACATATCACTTTTCACAATAAATGTAAATAGGTTGAATTCTCCAATTAAAAGACAAAGTCCAGCTGTCTGCTTTTTATAGGAGATGTAACAGAAATAAAACAACAACAACAACAACAACAGCAGCAACCCACAAGGGTTATAAATAAAAGGGAGGGCAAAGATATAAATAGTAAATGCAAAGAAAAAAGGGGTGGTCATTATGATATCAAAAAAATGGGGAATTCCACACAAAAATAAAGCATCAAATGTAGCAGAGAGACATCATCCGATAATTAAGTTTTTAAAAAGCTGCAAAACTACTTGGTATATGTAACAGAAAGGGTCCAGTCAGGAGATAATAATCACATTGCAATTTGAATAGAGAAAGTTTAATATAAAGAATTTTTAACTGGTAACAGGAGATTAGCTACTAAGAAGTAAAGTGAGCTCTACAGAATGCTGGAAGGGCAGATAAAGGGAACAGCCACCACCCCAAGGGCTGAGACTGAGTATCTAAGAAAGGAACGAGTTTGGGAAAGCTACTTCCCTCACTTCACTCTTTACCCCAGCCTAAGATTTAGATATCACGATAAAGGATGTGACTAAAGCCAGGTATGGTACCGGTATGGCAGATTGCAGCTGGTAAGCAGGAACTGCCTGTTGGAATAGCAACAAAAGTTGCCCGGAGGCTGCCCACGTGGTGAAGTTGAATTGCTTAGAAGCTACCTAGGGTGACTGTGCAGTGTCCCTCCACCACCGTCTACTGACAAAGGCTAATATTATGCCAGGTGTCAAAGGAGAAACGTTTATAGCATCCAGCTCCAGTTTTACAAATAGGGCAATGAAGGGTACATTTGGAACTGAGAGACAAGAACTTGATAACTGACAGAGTATTCAGGAACAGTGGAATTTCAATACCCCTCTTTCAGAATTGGATAGATCATTGGGGGGGGGGAAGTAATGCTATTAAAAGGATTTCACACAGAAAATGTAAGAATTACAATAAAATTATCATGTACTTGACCACAAAAATAAATCTTAAAAGTTCCAAAATGTGGCTATTTAAAGGATCTCATTTTTTGGTTACAAACCAAAATTTTAACAAAAATAAGAACAACATCTCAAGAATGAGATAATTAAAAGTTTAATCAAATTTTAGAACAACTGCAACTGAAATTAAGAAGGTTTTGAGTAATTTCTGGGTCAAGAGAAAAACAAAAGTGAAATTAGAAATAATCTAGAAGTTGACAGGAATAAGAGCACTAATTATTGAAATCTATGGGATATGGCTTAAGTTTAAAAAAGTGCATAACCTGGAAGCTTATTAGCAAAAGGGAGAGAACATGCATGTTTAAGTGTTCAACTTAAGGAAAGAGAAAAGTAAAAGAAAGCAAAATAATAAAATTTGTAAAGTTAAATCTAAAAATAATTGAAAAACAAAATAAATAAAAAGTAGAGTGGAACACTGAAAGCAAAAGCAAGTGAAGAAATGATTTGTAGCAATCAATAAAATAAAAAATTTACTCATGAAGAAATAAAGTATTTGAACAGAACAATAGCCATATGTATTTTTATGTTGTGTGTGTGTAAAAGAGTACTAACAACCTACCACTAAAATATATAAAGTTTGGTTGGTTTTAAAGTTAAGTTCTAGCTAGCCTTCAAGAAACAGGCATTTTCTATATATTCAGACTTTTCCAGAGCATGGAAAAAAGCTTCAAAAATTCATTTTATAAAGTGAACAAAACCCCTCACACAAAAATTTGAAAAAATAGTACAAAATTTAGTCTAGGTCACTTGTGAATATAGATGGAAATATCCCAACTGTGATCTTGGCAAATGGAATCACAGGAGTGTTTTAAAATAATAATAATATACTGTGGCCAAATAGTTTATTACAAGGATGCAAGAATGTTTCAAAGCTAAGATCTAACTATACGACTTGTAATATTAAATTATAGGGAAAAAAATCCTCTCACTATCAACAGATTTTGCGGAGTAATTTAAGTAAAACAACTGATTTAAAGTAAAAAAATAAATAAATTGGGAATAAAAGTGGTGAAAATTATTTTCCAGAAGAAAGAAGAAAAATCCTAATAAATGATGAAATAGTAAAGTAATTGATATTAAAATCAAATAAAAGAGAGGGAAGGCTCTAATAAATCATTATTTTCAGTTTTATTTTGTATTTCTGGTTCATGCAGCATAACAAGAGAGTAAGTAAGTTGCATCAACACTTAAAACCAGAAATAAAATTATCATGATTTTCATATGATTTGTTTGTATACCTAGGTAATTCCACAAGTCAGAAAAAAATCATTGTAAATAATAAGAGGATACAGTAAGTTATCTGGAAACATGATAAATATTTAATGATTTTCCTCTATGGTAACAAAAACCTGTTAGAATGGAAATAAAAAATATTCTAATCTCAATAGAAATAAACTAACAAGAATGTTTAAAAAATTTGTTTAAAGAAAAACATTTATTGAATGACAAATGAAATGAAAAGTGATGATGTTCTCAATGGGAAGATTTACTAACAAACATAAATCCTTCCCAAATTAGTATATGCATTTCACATGGTTCCAGGAATAGTCCCAGTGGTATCTCTTGTGTTCCATTCATAGTTCCTTTGTATATCATTAGCTTTGTGGCAGAAAGTAGATCGTACACTCAAATTTCAAAGGAAGTAATTGAAGGAAGTTTAATAAAGGGATGATTTACAAAGTTTTTGGTAGGGTGAAATGGAACCTGCGGAAATGGTAAAGCCCTAGACTCACATTACCATCATGAATCCTTAACCAATGAGAAAGGGGAGGGACTAGCAACCAGAGAGTTCTAACTCTAGCTGTAGGAGAGGACCACCCCACAAGAACTTTGGCCATTGGATGGAAGCTACTGAGAACTGGTAGTCCTGCTGGGAAGGAGCTGAGTGAATAAATGCCATATCTGCCCTTCAGTCTCATGTGGGTGCCTCTCCTTGACCAAAGCCAAATGGCAACAGGCAAGAGATTCAGAGTGAAGCAGTCCACAGATGCCAGCCTCCTAAGATATAGAACAGGGTGGTGAAGAGAGGCAAGTGAAACTGGACAGACAAACACAGATGTCCACAACCATATGAAAAAATCAAGTATAACATTGCTAAGAAAATATTGAAGACTACATGTAATAGAAGGGGACTTGTCTCATCCCAGATGTTAAAATTTGCAATAAATGTGCAGATTAAGAAAAGGAATAACCAAGCAAAGCAACAGAGTTGAACAGAGGGCCCCAAATAAGCTTCAGTATATATGGGAATTAAATATACATTAGAGATTCTATTCTATTATATAGAGGAAAGAATGGCTACTCAATAAAAGTTTTTAGCTATTTGACCATTGATTTGAAAGAAAATAAAGTGATATTCAACTCATACAATTTAAAAATGAATTTCAGATAAATGAAAAAACTAATTAGAAAAAGGAAATATAATGTATCTGAAAAAACTATAGCAGACTTTTTTTTTATAACTTTGGTTTTGATTGAATTTCCTAAATTAAACAGGACGTGTCATAAAGGATAAATGTAACGGATTTGAGCAGATAAAAATAAGGTCTGGATTGCAAGAGATAACAAACAAAACAAAGGTACATAACGGCAAGATTGCCATAAAATAAATAAAGCTATTCTCTAAAAGTAAGAAAAGATCCTACCATCAAATAGAGAAATGGGCAAATTGTATGTACAGGCAACTCCAGAAAGTGAAATATAAACAATAAGTATATGTTATACCTAACTAATAGAAACATTTATAACTTGAAAATATCATCAGAATGGAAAACTTTTAAAATATTAGTAACATTCAATGATGATAATAGTGTGCAGAAACAAATGCTTTCCTACTGCTGGTAGGAGTGAACCTGTTACACATTATCAGAAATTACTTTTCAAGTATCTGTTAAACTTAAAATGTGAAAAGAATTTGTCCCATTATTCCATTTAGAAATATAACCTATAGGAATGAAATAACCTATAAAGAATATCCTTTCTTCTTTCCTTACTCCCTCTACTCTCCCCTTTCTCCCTTCCTATTAACAATATATATTTTTAAAGAAACATGAATTTAACATGGTTTAATTAAACGTCCTTCAGCAATGGAAGGTTTTATGACAGAACTTGTTAGTGTTCTCAAATATCCATAGCCTTATCTACATTTCCCAAACTTCCTTGCAATGAGCTTGGGATCGCACGACTACTTCTGGCCTATGAATCTAAGCAAAAGGACCGACATATGGAGGCAGTTGGAAGAGGTGTGACTTCTCCCATTCTTCTCTTCCTCTCCATGTGGGCCTTGGAGGGCCTGTGTCCCAGATGGCACAGTTACAATATGGAGGAGGGACTGCCCCACCCATGTCAGATTTACACCATCAAGGACTAAGCATTTATTGTGATGCACCTGAGCTTTTATTTGTTATGACAGACGTTTGTCGTTTTTTGCTCAAAAGTCTTCAACTGATTGGATGACTCCCACCCACAATATCAAGAGTAATGCATTTACTTAAAGCCAACTGATTGTAGATGTTAACACATCTACAAAGTACCTTTACAGCAACACCCTGATTAGTGTCTGATTAAACAGCTGGATATTATAGCCTAGCCAATTTGACACATAAAATTAACCATCACATGGCTTTATGTGTACTGACTCAGAAAAACATCAAGCTGTTAAGTGGAAAGAGAAAATTGCCAACAAATTGTACAGATTTGTGAGGCAGATACTCTGTGTTGGCTTATGCAAGGTCTAGTCTAACTTTTTTTTTTCTCTCTCTCTTTTTTTTTAGCATGCCTCTGTGTACTTGTGAGACTGGAAAGGCAGAAACTGTATTTCCCAAGCTCACATGAATCTTGGGTTCCAGATGTGGCCAAGGTTCTCCTGGGCTGACATAATGAGATAAGGAAGAGCAAGGTGAGACACAGCTATATGCGGAAAGGTCAGTGATGCTTTAATGAGTGATGCTGGGGACATTTGGCCCTTCTGGGGCAGCTATGGCATAGATTCAGGTGTTGAGTCCCAGTATTCTGGCTGCCCAATTGTGTAGTCTCAGCAGTAGATTTTCTGCTAGAATAGTCTGTGGTGTAGATGAGCCTTTCTCCTGGCTCCTTTTAGTTTGGACTGCATATAATACAAATCTGTCTCTGTGGCTTTTCCAGAAACTCTGGTACTTAGTGCTCTCTAATAAATCCCTTTCTGCTTAAACCAGCTATATTTGATACTGTTTCCTGTTACTGAGAATCTTATCCAATAATGTGTGATCTATTACTATAAAAAGAAATAGACATTTCTGTTTAATTTTCAGCATAAAGATATGTAAAATTTTAGATATGCCTAAGTAAACATTAAACAAATGGGAAATATAGAGATCAGCATGGAGTGGAGGAAGGGAGGGAAATTTACTTTTATATCAGGCAGAGTCCAAACCAGTCAGGAAAATTTCAAAACACTCAAGGCTGGAGCTACTACTATCTTCAGGACTCACTATGATTCATGATTAAATTTTCTTTTGAGTTGGGTTTTCTAATACTTACGAAAATAAATTTTATAAATTTATAATGATAAATTGTTGAGTGTATATCCATATTCAGAATATTGGGAGGTTATGTCAAATGCAACTAAGCTACATGCAACTAATATAAAAACAATTACATATATTTATTTATTATTGACATGCTATAGGAATTCAAAGTTCATTTTGCAGTAAATGTGACAACTTTAATCAAAATGGTATGTCTGTGGTGAAATGAAAAGATCCTTTTAAGTGACTGATTTTTATTGCTCTAATTTTACATTTGTTTTATTTGGTTCTCTATATCAGATTTGTTATCAATTATTTGGTTAATGTAATCCAATATCACTTATATCTACTTATATATTTTTAAAGCCCTGAAAAAGTATCATAATCCCACGAGATTAAAGAAATAGTTACTGAATGGGAGGACTCTGTCCTCACTGTCTCCTGAATGCAAGCTTGCTGTAGACAATTCATATTTTATTTGCTCAGCACCACCTCTGCTATCCTTACTGAGAAGGTCTCCAGAAGTAGAATGGCAGCTGCTGAGGTCTTGCATACCCCAGATCCTCCCTGGGGTTCTTTTTTCTTTTTCTTTTCTTTTTTAATATTTTATTTATTTGAGAGAGAGAGAGAGAGAGAGAAAATGAGACAGAGCATGAGCAGAGGGAGAAGCAGGCTCCCCTTTGAACAGGGAGTCCGGCATGAGGCTTGATCCCAGGACCCTGGGATCATGACCTGAGCCAAAGGAAGATGCTTAACTTACTGAGCCACCCAGGCACCTCCTCCCTGGAGTTCTTTTGGATTTTTTTTCTTTTTCTGGTGGAGGAATGTGCTCATGACCTAATATTTTTTGAAGATGAAACTAGAAAAAGTAGAGGTCAGTTCTCCTCTGCGGGTGAAGCTGTGAGGTTCTTACCAAGTTCATCATCAATATGAGATAATGAGGCTGATGTGCAGAGAAAAGATAAGGGATAGTGAGTGAGAATCCTGGTAGCATTTTTGGTTACTTAAACCTGATTGCTTAATATGCAATTGAAATAAGAGTTTCAATCACTTGCAACCAAAAGAGACACAAGCAATGGAATCTCCTATGTAGCTTTCTTTCTTGAGTTTGGCAGAAAGCAAAATTGTTTACCCTGCAGGGTTTAGTAACAGATTACCCAGTAGCACTGAACTGGGATAGGGGTGGTTTAAAGTGCTGAGTGCTGTTTAGAGGCAAATTATCCATAGGTTGGTGAGAAGATGATTTACACTCAAGGGAAAGTAAATAATGAGTCCATGATACCCAAGTTTCATTGGGCCTGAGTTGGAAATTCTCTCCATCCTGGACATCCATTCTGGGACTCCTACCCTCTCTAGTTAAGATTGCTCCTCTCCTCTTCCACTGCTGCCCCCACTAACTCTCCATGACCTTCTCCTATCCCTTCTCATCTGGTCTGGGGGAGCAGAAGCCCTCTCAAAGCAATAAAGAGTTGCATGACCATGAACAAGCAGCCTCATTCCACCCACACCCAAGTTCCCTAGTGTATAAAATGGAAGAGGTTGGCAAGATCATTTCTACTATTCATTTTAATCTGAAAATGTGATCTGCTCCTCTTGGTTCAACATACAGACACATCTTCTGGTGTAGTGCTGGCCGTGTCCCTGAGAGATGAAGGTGAAGGTCAGAGTAAATGGATTTGCCCAGGCATCTGGTCACTGGGGCTGCTTTTAACTCTGGCAGAGTGGATACCATCACCATCAGTGATCCCCTCATTGACTTCAACTATATGGTCTACATGTTCCAGTATGATTCCACCCATGGCAAATTCCATGGAACAGTCAAGGCTGAGAACAGGAAACTTATCATTAATGGAAAGCCCATCTCTATCTTCCAGGATTGAGATCCTACCCATCAAATGAGGTGATGCTGGTGCTGAGCATGTCCTGCAGTCCACTGGGGTCTTCACCAGAAGGTTGGGCTTACTTGAAGGTGCAACCAAGAGGTTCATTATCTCTCCCACTTCTGCTGATGCCCTCATGTTTGTGATGGGTGTGAACCATGAGAAGTTTGACAAGTCCCTCAATATTGTCAGCAATGTTTCCTGCACAACCAACTGCTTGACTCCTCTGGTCAAGGTCATTCATGACAACTTCAGCATCATGGAGGGACTCATGACCACAGCTCACGCCACCGTCACTGCCACCCAGAAGACTGTGGATGGCCCCTCTGGGAAGCTGTGGTATGATGGTTGAGGGGCTGCCTGACCATCATCCCTACTTCTACTGGTGCTGCCAAAGCTGTAGGCAAGGTCATCCCTAGCTGAATAGGAAGCTCTGGCATGGCCTTCTGTGTCCTCACCTTGAAGTGTCAGTCATGGATCTAACCTGCCACATGAAGGAAGCTGCCAGATATGATGGCATCAAGAAGGTGGTGAAGCAGGCATTGGAGGGCCCCCTCAAGGGCATCCTGGCCTCCACTGAGGACCAGGTTGTCTCCTGCAACTTTAACAGTGACACCCACTCTTCCACCTTTGATGCTGGGGCTGGCATTGCTCTCAATGACCACTTTGTCAAACTCATTTCCTGGTATGACAATGAATTTGGCTATAGCTGGGTGGTGGACCTTATGGTTCACATGGCCCTCAAGAAGTAAGAGCCTCCTGGTCCACCAGCCCTAGGAAGAGAGAAAGAGGAAGAGAGAGAGGCCCTCAGCTGCTGGGGAGTCCTGCCCCAATTCATTCCCTAACACACTGAGAATCTCCCAACCTCCACAGTTTCCATCCCAGACCCCCTGAAGAAGGGGGGGACTTGGGGATCCCTACCTTATCATGTACCATCAATAAAGTATAGTGTACCTAGCCCTCCCAAAAAGGTAAATTTCCATAAAAAATAAATTTTAATGTATGTCTAAAAATAAAACAGGAAGGGGGATTAGTGGAGTCAGGGCAACCTGGACAAATTCCAGGAGCAGCAAGAAAATAAACGTGGTTGCAATGACATGTATGGGCCAGGACTTCGAGAGATGAAAGATCACAGTAGGCTTCTCTGTCCCTAAATGGTTCCAACAGGGGCAAGAGATTCATGTGTTACACACACACACACACACTACATACATAAAATAGTCTCCTGTTTGAGAAGGTTCCAATTAATCAACTTTTTAGAATCAGAATGTCTCAATGTGATGACTTACCCAATTACATAAACTCTCAATTATTCAATTATTCAGGTAAATTTACATTTTGTGACAATATTTGACCAGTTTGGAAAATAGCAGAAAAATAACATTTTTTTTTGTGGAAGTTTAGAAAATAACAGAAAAAATTAGAGACTCTCTCTCATCCATAAATAACTTACAAAACTAGATAGATTGTGAAGAAATTTTGAGAAGGAAGAAGTTTATAAGAGAAAATAAAGATCTATGAAATATCTGTATTGAGCAGTAAAAGGGGGTTGTGTGAAACAGAGTGAAAATATTATAAATTGAAAGGTACTTTGACTTGTTTTTAGCCCTACATTCTAATTATTTGAGAATAATAGTCATATATTTATCATTTGACTCACATATTTTCTTTTCTTTTTTTTTTTTTAAGATTTTTATTTATTTATTGAGAGAGAGAGAGAGAATGATAGAGAGAGACCATGAGAGGGAGGAGGGTCAGAGGGGGAAGCACACTCCCTGCTGAGCAGGGAGCCCGATGTGGGACTCGATCCTGGGACTCCAGAATCATGACCTGAGCCGAAGGCAGTTGCTTAACCAACTGAGCCCCCCAGGCGCCTCGACTCAGGTATTTTCTACCTGATTAAAATACACCAAATTTTTCATACTTCAAATTTTTTTCTCCTCATTGTTTACAAAAGTATAGAATCTGTGGTGTATTTTCATGTTGGCATTGGAGAGTAGCAATCTGGATAGGTGAAGGAAATCCTGATGAATCCAGGAGAGATGAAGCATAAAATTAAAAGGTAATGCATAGGAGACACTGTTGGTTGTCTATACAACAGCCACTTACCCTGTCCTTTCCTATTAACAGCTTCTGATTTTGTTTAGGAATTCAGGTGGATGGCAATGTGCTCAGGGTAGGTAGATACCTTCTTGGGCTCCATGGGGTGAATCATGGGTAGACTAAACAAGGCAGGGTAGTCGTTTGCCCATGATTGATTAAACGGTGAGAATGGGGCAAGTGACCCAGCTCTGACTCGCGACTTAGAAGAGAGTGTTTGCTGGGGAATTCTGGGAAAGATTTTTTCTTTCTGATAAAAATAGACACATGTAGGAAGAGATACCCTCCCCATTTCTTTTCTGCCCTTGGACGTTGTCAAATGAAGAGATGATGTTTGGCACCAGGGCAGCCATCCTACGATCATAAAGAGAAAGGCAAAACATCTCTGAGAATATAACCCAGAGTCTTGACATTGGAGACCTCATGATTTAACTAACCTTGGAAACGTGTAACTCTAATCTTCTTGTTATTT